GGTAACCGGTTTTTGATGTAAATTAAAGGTTTCTGTTTTTATTGTATGTTTATCTGTGTTCACATATTCAAACTGTCAGTCTTGTTGTTACCAAAATAAAAATCAATCAATCAATCAATCAATCAATCAATAATAGAATGCTACTCTTGAACTCTCCTATGAACTACAGTTGCCTTTTGTCAAACGGTACTTTTCTGTAATAAATAAAGATTTTCAAAAAAAAGAGTTTTATTATTTAAAGACCGCTTTCACTTTAGTGTGATGAAATAGTTTTTTAATAGTGTTCGGCGTCCTGAATATAGAGATAAGTACGTTGTTGTTATGAATGAATGATTCGTTCTTCGCTATCATCTAGCAGTGAGACAAGCACAGCAAATGGTATCCGTCTGGAATCAGAAAACGTTTCAAATCGAATAATAGGACTAACTCGTTGGTTCTGATATTGACACAAATCACCATAATAACTAGGTGGACAAAGACATGCTACATCAGTAGAGTTTGTATCATTGTGATACCAAAGATGTAAAACAAGACCACGATGACATAGTTGTTTATACTGACGAGTAGTTGTTTGTTTAATAGAAGAATATGACATGATTGCATTTGTCTCTTGTTGTTGTATCTGAGTTATTGAGTTCGTTAATTTACCTAATGCAAAGCTGGCAATCTTCGGTTTATTAGTATCAAATGGACGTGCACAGAAGAGTTTTTCAATATCAGTACGAACAGTTTCATATTTTTTTTCCACATATAGGATCGGTACATAGTATATTTCTAGATTCATCACAAAACTGTTTACCCAATTTACCTTCGCAATTGCTTTCGTAACATGAGCCTCGGAAAGACTCACAAGATTCCGTTTTGTTGTTGAGGCGACAAAAATTCCAACCAGTAGATTTAAAATTATTTGATCGACATAACTTCGGCTCATCAGTACCACCAAGACAACCAATTTTACCATCATTAGCTTTCTTAAGCGGTAAACAGATAAATTGATTTGTTTTAGGTGAAACACAAATGCGATGATGATGTGAACAATTCAATAATGGTGATGGATCACAGTCAACTTCATCGGCTCCATCGAAACAATTCCAAAAAACCATCACAACGGGTATATGTATTATTGCACTGCTAATATTCACATTCAGTTTCATCTGTTTCATTTCGTCCATTAGTAAGAAGAGGTATCAATTCTGTAAAACAATCACAAATACGCAGAAACAATATGTGTTTTCTAATATAGTGAAGTTGCGGTTTTTCACCAATCATACCCATCATATTCACACTCGCACATATCATCATCGATAAGTGCTGGAGGACGACAGATATTCGTCTTCGTACATAAAAAACCGTTTTTTGATCCATATATTGAACAAGAATCATTACTTGGAAAACATTGTTCATCGTCATTATAATCACAATCTTTGATACCATTGCAAAGTCGGCGCTTTGAGATACATTCTGACGAGTTATGGCAATGGTACATAGTTGAACTATTACAATTTGTAGAATTAATGTAGTTAATTTTATTGCATTGGCGCAAGAGATCGTATAAGGATGGGATATACATCCCATACCAACGTGGCATTATTGAACGAAATAAATGGTGTGTTTGGATAGACACCATCACAAAGTTGATCATTATAGCATACATATTTAGATGCCGTTGGGAATTGAGGTTTGATACTCAGATCATCTAGTATAAAAGGATATCTTTGAGAATACATAATGCAAACGAAAAGAAATACATAAAAAAAGAAGGAAACGAATCGATGCGAGCGGAGAGTATTGTTAGTGCTCCAGTGAAGATAGAGGAAGTGAAACTGAAATCAGTACATATTCCAACTTGAATGGATGAATACATCGTTGCTGTTACCTTGTAGATGGACCACTAGATTACTTTCTCGTAGAATGCGATAACTATATTTGGATTACTGAGAATTTAGAGTAATAGAGAAAAATAGAGTACATACTTGATCTTTGTGAACCTGCAACGATGAATGAGGACGTTTTCGAACAGTTTAATTTTTTAATCTTGGTTGTTTTGATGCCCGACGATCACTTTGACATTTGCAACCGGAGTATTGATACATGTCTGATATGAATCCAATCGTTTTTCATATGTACAGTGAAGTGTGAGATGATTGGCAAATTGTTCCATGTCTTGGTCAATTACTGAATTATTGTGAATGTTCGTAAGTTCATGACCAAGCTGACCATAATTAATATTGTTTTTGACGCCTTCATTTATGGCAGGTCCTATAATCAATTGTTTCCTCAAACGAAAAAGTTTGTTGTG